TTACTTTTTTTAGGGAGTAACGCAATATTGTAATGCATTACTTTTAAAAGTAACTTTCCCCAACACTGTGAATGAGTGACCTATTAGCTCCTGGAATGGGTTTGCATCACTGTTTGGCCAATAGCAGCTTGTGATTTGCACCTTTGTAAACTTTAATTGGACAACCATGTTATTTTCTTACTTTCTGTATTTTCAAGATTTGTTTGTTTGTTTGTGTCTAGACTGGAATCCCTTACATTTTCCAGATTTGTAAACTTGAGGCCCTATCTTTGCTGCCTGCATCCAGCTGGAACCAGTTTCTTCAGTGTACCCTGTGATCTTTTAGCTTCTGAAGGAGGTAAACAACCACCCGTGTCCTGCCAGACACACACTCACCCCCCGCTACTGAAAGGGGATACATCCATGACTGACGCAGACACAGACATGAATTCATGTCTAACATAGACAGCTGCCATTGAGACCTGCTTTATGTATGAATAAATATTTCCTCTAAAAGCACAGGCACATCTAAAAATATACCTCCCTGTATTCAAGCAAAGGTCAGTAGGTCATGCTCTGTCTATGGAAAGGTATGCAAGTATCTCATCAAAACTCCACATCATTCATCATACAACGGTCTACCAGAAGTATCAGGACACTTAAGACACTTAAAATGTCCGAAAGCCAGATAAAATTTCAAATCAAGCGGCATCAAGCTTGATCTTTTTTACTTCACTTGCAATGACTTTTAACCATAGTTCCACTATTTTTGACAACCATAAAATGTCCAAATATGTTTATTTTATTGTTTTTGAACAGTATATTTATTGTTTCATGCACACTCTTTTATTGTAGAATGCAAATACATAATTTTTTTTAAGCAGCTAAGCACAAGTACAACAGTTTAGTCAGTTAACACAATAATAAAATATACTATTTAATACACTGGAAAATTTCATGCCAATTTTTATATTACAGGAGTTTGAATCATGTAGCACCAGTGATTTTCTTGACCCCCTAAAGGTCCTAAGAGGTGTTTTAGAGGAGTGCATTTAAAAACCTGACCAGTAAGCAGGTGGTGCACATTAACGTCACTGCTGATTTCAGAAATGCCGTTCTCAATTCCTCCTGTCATTCTTGGCTGTCCCATCATGCCACATCATTCTGTGCAGGCTATTGCTGTGTCAGCTGCCCGACTGCATGGAAATCAGTGTTGCTCTAGTCATTTGTGCCCTTTTTTTATAAGCAACTATTAGTTAATGGTAATAAAATTTAGATAGGCCTTTGAGCACCTTTTAAGATTTTTATTTATTTATTTATTTTTTACATAACATGACATAAATGTTGAAATAAAAAATAAAAAAACTTTCTCCTGTCCCAGTTTAATGAGTAGAGACAATTACAAGTAAGCCAACCATAAATTCCCACAACACAGAAATACAATAGCTCTGTATGTAGCTGTTGTTAGTACATGTATCTTTTGTAAGTAGTGAAATACAAGGAAACATTTCTAAAACACATACTAGAAATATTTATATTTGCATGATTTGCATGAGGAAGTTCAAATGTAATAATTCTCAGTGGCATGAACATTTATTTTTAACAAAACATTTCAGGAGACTGTAAGAATGTATTTAAGTCCAAGTTCCTGCTAGTGTCAAGTCAAGTCACCTTTATTTATATAGTGCTTTATACAATACAGATTGTGTCAAGGCAGCTTTAAAGTATTAAACAGGAAAATAGTGTGTCGATAATGCAAGATGACAATATTAAACACTCAATTTTTCAGTTAAAGTCAGTTCATCATTGATTCAGTGATGTCATCGTCCAGCTCAGTTCGGTTCAAATACTATCTGTGCAATCAAGTCGACAATATTTCCAGAAATTAAGTGTCCCCAACTAAGTAAGCCAAAGGTGACAGTGGCAAGGAACCAAAACTCCATCGGTGGCAGAAATGGAGAAAAAAACCTTGGGAGAAACTAGTTCTCCTCTGGCCAGACGAAACCAGCATGGGGTGGTTAAATTCCAGGATACAACACAGGTCAGATTGAGCAGAGGACTCGCCTGGTTCTCGTGGTCTTGTCCCGATGGCCGTATAGTTGACGAGGTCTTCACAGGAGATCTTTCTCTAGGGTTCGTGTAGTTGACATGGTCTCTGCTGACATTCAGGGCTGTAGAGGTCGTCTCTAGGTGCTAGTCCACCATCTGGAATAGATACGGACTGGATCCGGGTGACTGCAGTGACCATCAGATCTGGATACGGACTGGTTCTGGGTGGCTAAGGTGACCTCGGAATAAGAATAAAACAGACTAATATTAGTGTACAGTAGATGCCATTCTTCTTATGATGTAACAAGTACATCGGGTGTTATGGGAAGTGTTCCCGGTTCCGGTTGACCTAATTAATGCAGCCCAACAATCCTTTAATGGATTTGAATTATAGTGATAGTGAGTTATGTGTAAGCCAGGTTAAAGAGATGGGTCTTTAATCTAGATTTAAACTGACAGAGTGTGTCTGCCTCCCGAACAACGCTAGGTTGACTGTTCCAGAGTTTGGACGCTAAATAGGAAAAGGATCTGCAGTTTATTTTGATAATATATTATCAAAATAATAATATTTATATTTTAAAAATAATAATTATATATTATTATATATTTAAAAAAAATTGTTTATTATTATTATTATTATATATTTTGATAATTTTGAGGCATTATCAGATGGCCCAAGTTTTGAGATTGCAGCAGATGTGAAGGACTATAATGCAATTAGAGCTTGCTCGAGTACTGAGGAACTAAACCATTGAGAGCATAGGTCGTAATTTAGATATATTTTTAAGATGGAATAATGCAGTTTTACAAATGCTTGAAACTTGGCTTTCAAAGGAGAGATTGCTATCAGATATCACACCTAGGTTTCTAACTGATAATGAAGAATTGACAGCACAGCCAGCATGTGTTAGACAGTGTTTTAGGTTATTACATACAGAGGTTTTAGGTCCGATAATTAACACCTCTGTTTTTTTTCAGAATTTAGCAGTAGGAAATTACTAGTTATCCAGTTTTTTATATCAACTATGCATTCCGTTAGTTTTGCGAATTGGTATGCTTCATCGGGCCATGAAAAAATATAGAGCTGAGTATCATCAGCATAACAGTGAATGCTAACACCATGTTTCCTCATGATATCTCCCAAGGGTAACATGTAAAATGTGAAAAGCAATTTTCTAGTCTATCCAAAGGAATGTTATGGTCGATAGTGTCAAACCCAGCGCTAAGATCCAGTAGCACTAATAGAGAGATACAACCACGATCGAATGATAAGAGCGGGTCATTTGTAACTCTGATGAGAGCAGTCTTAGTACTATGATATGGTCTAATACCTGACTGGAAATCCTCACAGATACCATTTTTCTCCAAGAAAGAACATAGCTGTGAGGATACTGCGTTTTCTAGTATCTTTGACAGAAAATGGAGTTTTGAGATCGGTCTGTAATTAACTAATTCTCTAGGATCAAGTTGTGTTTTTTAATGAGAGGCTTAATAACAGCCAGTTTGAAGGTTTTTGGGACACATCCTAATGACAAAGATGAATTAATAACATTCAGAAGAGGATCTATGACTTCTGGAAGCACCTCTTTTTAGTAGCTTAGATGGCATTGGCTCTAACATACATGTTGTTGGTTTGGAGGATTTAACACGTTTATACAATTCTTCCTCTCCTATAGAAGTAGAGTGGAATTGTTTTTCAGGGGATCTATTGCACGTTATCTAATGTAATGCTGTAGCTGACGGCTGTATGGTTATAATTTTATCTCTAATAGTATCGATCTAAGAAGTAAAGACGTTCACAAAGTCATTACTGCTGTGTTGTTTGGAAATGTCAGCGCCTGTTAATGCTTTATTTTTCATTAATTTAGCCACTGTACTGAATAAATACCTTGGGTTGTGTTTGTTTTCTTCTAAAAGAGAAAAAAAGTAAGCATATCTAACAGTTTTTAAGGCTTTCTGTAGGAGGAAGTACTTTCCCTCCATGCAATACGAAATACCTCTAGTTTTGTTTTCTTCGAGCTGCGCTCCATTTTCCAGGCTGCTCTCTTTAGGACACGAGTGCGCTTGTTATACCATGGTGTCGGACTGTTTTCCTTAATATTCTTTAAGTGTAAAGGAACAAGAAAAGAGAAAAGAGAGAGTCCATAGTTTCTGTTACAACATGAAGATTTTCTGAGCTATTGGATATACTGAGGAACTGAGACAAGTCAGGAAGATTATTTACAAAGCAGTCTTTTGATGCACCATGATGTTCTCACACACTAAAGTTTTTAGGCATATATTAAACAATAAGACAGCAGGAGTGCTTTAGTTGACATGTTCAAAGCGACCAAAATGTCACATTATTGTTCTATAATTTCATATTGCTTGCTTATCACAAACTTTTCCACCATGCCCTGTCATGACTCAGCAGGCTTTATGATCCAATGAAATAGCAGCATTTTTTGTCAGTCCACAGTTCTTGTTATATATATATTTTTAAAAACTGCAAATCCGCTTTTATTATTTAAATGACTTACAGACCTACATATCAAGCTCATAAACGTATTATGTAACACTAGCTAAATGGCAGGCAGCATCTGGAATGATTTTGGCTTCAGCCAATGGGCTGTTTTAAACACACTCTGCCCTCCTCATTATCCAAACTTCATTGAAAGGAAATGACCACCTCAGTACATAACGCATAAATAGCTCCACTTTAATAGTGTACAAATTCATATGCAGGGTGCGAACTACGGGGGAGCTAGGGGGAGCTCGGCTCCCCTTAATAAGACATGGCATGTTATTCGCAATTATGTGTTGTGGCTGGGTTGTTATAGGTCTGCGTGACTCTCGATGTCTTAGGCCTAATTGAACGGAGGAATTATGGTATTCTTCTGTAGCCTGACGACGAGTAACTTTAACCGTTGTTCATGTGAACTCAAAGACAGCCTGATGCTTTGTTTATAGACTATTTGTGGGTGGCTCTTTGTTGTTTCACCTATCAATTCGTGTCGATAAAGTATAATAGGGTAAATCCTGTATAGTGATTTATCCAATATAGTGCTTGCATAAAGCAAGTAGTGCATACACTTGTAGCTGTTATGTATCTTTGTAAGTCATTGTAAGTGGGCTCCCCCAAAGTCCACGGTATAGTTCGAACACTGTTCATATGAATTAGCCACCAACCCTCCAAATAGAATAGGCATTGTACATCACCAAGTACAATTACTGTATTGTCATTATTTATCACATTATTATTGATTTGAACATCATAAATATATGACAAAAAATATTGTTTAAAATGTCTTCAAAATAAGTTGACAATTTATGCTAAACCTCAACTGACTTGAACAGATGGCTTTCATTATTGTTTAGTCTTTTTTTTTTATCTAGTCAACACCCTGAACTAAAATTTTGCTGACTTCATGAATCTCTCAGTTACAATGAGAAAATCTAACACAAATTAAACTAGGACTGAACATACTCTCCAAACCAGGCAATTTTCTGTCCTGTCTGATTAACTAGATTATCGCCTAAAATTTTACTGACCATAAATATACATGAATATATACATAAATACATTATTAAATAAAATACTAAGCTAGAAGAATGTGTTTTAATGTGATGTTTCACACAAACTTTTTAGTTTACCAGGAATTACCAGCAAAGTGATTGGTTTTATTATGAAATAATAAGTAATAATACGTCTTGAGTATGAAACAAGAGCAGAATGAGTTTCAGCATAAATAGTATACTGAATAAAAATGGTAACCTAAAAATAATTTCATTCAAGCCAAAAATATTATGTAACATCACTGAATCAACCTAAATACATTAATTTATACCAACAAAACACATTTTTTTGGTTCAATCAGGTAACAGTAGCTATATATGGTAACAATTGCAGCTTACCACTTTTTACATTGTACACAAAATCCATTCTTTAAAAACAAACTGTCCGTTTAATGAACAAATTCATTCTGCTTCTATATGAACGCCTGTGTGAGAAAGACAAATACAGTGCAAATATCAAATAGATAACTGACAGCGCCCTCTGCTGGTAACCTATGACATTAACAGTTAATTAACTCACCTGGTCTCATTATGAATACATAATGAGATGTACTGAAAGTACACGATCTTAGGATCAGTGTTCACTACAATATTTTAATATAAAAACCAATATGAAATATAAAAACTATTTTTTACTATATTTGTTTTCAGATAACAGGAAAGATGTTACCAATGCTCTCCTTCTCCTGTTAGTATTTCTGCTTGCCTGGATTTCTTTAATGTCCTCTTTCTGCTCTCTCTCTCTTTCTCTCAAAGCGAAAGAGTCTCTAAGTGTTGCAGTGTCACATATAAATTTTTCTTTCGTTTGTCCATGTGTTTGTCTCGTTTTTACTTAATATCTAGAATATAAATATTATGCCATTTGAATTGTTTGGTTTAGGGGCCTTTGCTGCTGCTGCTGGTTTGTTTACATCAGTTCAGTGTCTCTGGCGCAAGGGCTTCTGGGCCATGTGTCAGCCATAGTCGCGGTGCATTGTGGGGAGGTTGTGGTCCTCCAGCGGCTCGGTTCGGAATAATGTCTGCCTCGGAGGCAGTGGATGGTTCTTCCCCGGAGTTATGCCCGAGCTTCGCCGTGATCTGCTCGTTTCTGGAGCGGTATGGAGCTCTGCTGGACCTGCCGGAGGTGTCGTTCCCGGCGCTGGAGCGCAGTCTGCAGGAGAGCAGCGCGGGTGAGCCGCTCCTCCATTGTTGCTCTTCAGCCGCTTTACATGCCTTGAAACGGGCCGTTAGGTACTCCACCCGCGGGTGTCGGTGTTTTTGTCGCCGTTTGTGTCTCTAAAGCGCCGTTTCTGGTGTTAATTTCGGCGTTTTGTCCTACGGAAGGTTTTATTCCGCTTTATTTACTCGTAACAGCGCACAGAAACGCATTGCTGCTTTATTTGCGTTTAAATGCGACCTTTTACTTATGGAAAATCAGTTGTATTTGCATATAACTACACGCATATTGAGAGGAAAGAAATAATCATGTTTATTCATAGTTAAATAATAATTTGGCGTGAATTGGTGTGATGTGAGAAGCGCGCATGCGCAGAACGTGTGAACTTCCTGCCCGCGCCGCTGAGGGAGAAATGACAATATGGGATTATTTTGATTGTCAAACTTTGGTGAAAGTTAACAATAAGCCCTTTTATTTGTGTCTGTGATGGTTTTATATATGTATACCATCTGTGATGGTATATTTATGTATAATGTATATGTATGTTTTGTTGATAGTGTTAAATCCTAAAATAAAAATTGTCATCCTTTACTCTCATGTTGATCCTCCATAGAGTAATTTAAAAAAGCTTTTTCTTTTTTGGATGAACTGTCCCTTTAAATTACTGCAGTTTTGTTGTAGTAACAATAAATGTAGTTGTTATGGTATTTTGGCTGGAACTATAGCAGCTATAGTACATTTGTGAAAGTGAAAAAAAGTGAAAGTGACGTGACATGTGGCCAGGTATGGTGACCCATACTCGGAATTAGTGCTCTGCATTTACCCATCCAAAGTGCACACACACAGCAGTGAACACACACAAACCGTGAACACACACCCGGAGCAGTGGGCAGCCATTTATGCTGCGGCGCCCGGGGAGCAGTTGGGGGTTCGGTGCCTTGCTCAAGGGCACCTCAGTCGTGGTATTGAAGGTGGGAGAGAGCGCTGTACATTCACTCCCCCCACCTACAATCCCTGCCGGTACGAGACTCGAACCCACAACCTTTGGGTTATGAGTCCAACTCTCTAACCATTAGGCCACGACTTCCCCAGTAGCAGTAGAGACAGATAAATTCTGCCAGTCATAAACATATTTATGTAAATACTAAAGTGAAGCATGTAGGGGACTGTAGCAGTACAAGAACAACAGCAATATTAAATGGCCAGTAATGTGTTTATCATTGTACAGTTACTTTAAATGCAAATGTAATTAGGGATGCACCGATACCACTTTTTCCAGTACTCGCCCGATACCGATACTTTTATTTTTGGTACTTGCCGATACCGAGTACCGATACCGATATTTTTATTGCATTTGTA